AAAAGTCCTTTGGTATAGAGGAATTTCAGGAGTAGCCTAAAACTCCATCTTCTCACTGCTAAGCCCCGCCTTCTTCCCAATTTACGAATATTTTGATGGCTCATTAGAAGAACAAACCCATAGGCTTGTAAGGGTGACATTATTTCATCTCGGTTCTTAAAAGCAGTAATGCAGCACAGTTCTTTAAAAGTTTTATCTTTTCTGTTCAACTGGTTGAGCATAGAATATTTTCTATGTATTGGTTTGTTCTGCATTGTAATCTGTAGCATTATAAATTGATTTTGAAACAAAATTTAGTCTGATCAGATAAGGAAGGGAGTTAATGTTGTTGCATCAGTGTATATTCAGGCCAGATTATATCTGCTCAGTGACCCACATTTTCTCAATCAAGACACAGGGGAAAATATGTGAAACTTTATCATTTGTTTCTTTTTAGCTTATTTTTTTAAATAAATGATTCAGTTTAACACTGTGGCGACAACCTGAACATGACAGTCCCTGACAAACATCATTCTGCAACTGATGGCAATCCATGATGGCAAACCTAAGGCACATATACCAGATGTGGCATGCAGAGCCCTCTCTGTGGGCATGTGTGCTCTTGCCAGCTGCTCTTCTGGTTTCCCAGCCAGCTAGTCTTCCCGGGCGCCGGAGTGCCTAAAAATGGCCCGAAAAACGGCCATATAACAGGAAGTTTTTCGGGCCATTTTCCAGGCTATTTCTGGGCCGTTTTCTGGGCTGTTTCCAAAAACGGTCCAAAAAACAGTCCCCCCAAATGCCCCAAAAGCAGGCATGCGTGCCCCAGTCAACTGGTCTTTGGTTTTCTGGTGCTCCGGCATGCATGAAGACCAGCTGACTGACGCGTTTGTGTGTGCCGCAAAACCAAACACAAGCTGGCCGGCACGAGCATGCGCACTGGCCAGCTGGTCTTCGGGTTTGTGGCGCTTCAGCGCATGCAAATACATGTGCATGCAAATACATGCACATGCATGCACGTTCCAGTTTGGGCACTCGGTGCTGAAAAGGTTTGCCATCACTGTCCTATACAATAAAGCTTCTACCTCTACTGTGATTCTTTCCATAATGAATGGAGGAGATGTATCCTTCAGTGGAGATTAGAGCACAAGATGCCAGGTTTTGGATCTGCCCACAACAAAACATAACATGCCTAGGTGTTTAGTGGGCATGGCTATGTGCTGCAATTCTATAGCATGGATGAGGAAGTTCCAATGCACTGTTAGTTAAAGCGTTTATTTAGGTTGGGCATTGCACTTTCTGGCTCAAAGTTTGATTAAGACGGGGATTAAGGCAGTTGGGGAAACTTCTCTCATAGGATATAAAAATTTGAATTATGGAACAAAATCAGTTAGACTTGGCTACTAGGAGAGAATGTGCTGTGCTGTGGATGGGGATAGAGCAGTTTGGGGAACTTTCCAGATGGAAACATTAATTTGGTTATTTTATGATGCAAATGCAATTTTAGAGATTTTATATAGCCCCCAAACAACAACAACAAAGAAAAAGTTTTTCAGTTCATTTTTCTAACTTTTGTCCTTGACGTAGGAGTGGCCTTGGGGACTAATTTTGAGGAGCAAAGGGGAGTTAAATAATATGGGTAGGAGAATGGTAAGTTTCCCCTGCGTGTTTATTAGTGTCATGAATCACATTTGACTATTAACATTCTTCGGTTCAAGAGACTTTGACAGCTATTTTTTTAAAAAAATGCATCATAGATTAATAAGGTGAATACCTTGAATATCTTCAGAAAGGAATCAGAATATGGTGACCTTATTTCTAAAAATGCAGAGGCTATGCTGATCATTGGATAAATGCCAGTATTTCACCCAACAAAAACAGCAGTCCTGGTTGTGTTGGCAAGTGTTGTCTGCCTCACCTACCTCCATGTCAGCCTTGCTTACTTGTATTCTGGGCCAATCTTACAATGCTTCACCATGAGGACTTCCTCAAAAGTGAGGCACTTGGACCAGGAACAGCTGGATGGAAAGACTGCTGCTTCCATGGCTTTCTTGAATCCCGTGGGCCAGGTGGGAAAGGAGTGGGCAGATCCCCGCCCTGCAAATGGAAAGGCCTTTTGGCTTACCTAATAACAAATTTGTTTGATGAGGATCCAAACACACCATGTTAGCTTCTCACTGTGTAGAATAATAATAAGATATCAGGGGCATTGTTCTTCATTAGCAGATGGAGCAGTGAGGCCTTTGAACTGACAGTAGACAATGGGAGTTTATTTATTGTTTCTGTCATAGCAGACAATTAACTTACATTGGCTCTAATTGGTGTGCCTACTAAGTGTAATTGGCACTGGTGAATAAGAAATGGATTTTCTGTTTCAGAAGTCCATGCAGTTTTCTACCAGAGAATGTCTACGCACATTTATGGAAAACATCTGTTTCTCCACTCCTTAGATCTGGAAGAGAGATTTGATAGATATCAAGAATGCTCATTTGCAAATGCAAAATCTGTTATCAAGCTTTGGATTTAAATGTACAAGATTTGCCCACTTTTAAAAAAGCTGGCATATATCATTGTTACTCAAGAATAAATGGCGAAAGAACTAGTGCTGTTGATGCAAACCCTTAAATGGTGGCTTGTTAGAATTCTTTAGATACAATTGATAAGCAACTAAATAAACAGTAACTTATTTTCAAATTATCTGGGGATGTGTTGCAATTCCATCGTGGCAAAATGGCCCAAGAGGATTTTTCTAACAAATGCTATAAACAATGTCCTGGTAAATTTAATGATTAACTTCACACATGTGAATTGAAACCATTCCTTTAACATTAAATTTTCTAAATAAATGAATACTTTCTGATCTGAAATATATTTATTTGATTGACTGATATCCTATCTTTTTGGGGTATACCTCAAGGTGGTGTATATAAGGCTTTCGCTCCACAACTACAACCCTGTGATATGGGGTTGACCCAAAGTCTTCCAGCCAGCTTTAATACCTAAGGGGGAACCAAAACCTATAGCTCCCTGTTCTTCTTCTAGCACCTTAATCACTATACAAAATGTTCTCTAATTACATTTTTTTCTCCTGTTACGAACACATTGTGATTATTTAGTATCTGAGGAATTAGCTATCTACCTAAGTGTTTCCCTGTGCTTTGTGGCTCCATGTATTCCAGGGCTGATTCAGGCATTACAAACAAAGGAGTTATGGAGCCATATTAAAACTATAATTAAGTCATTTTAGTTATGCCAAGCTGAACTTTCACTCTAAAGTCTAAGAATTTTTTTTTAGATGTGCAAAATTAATGAGCTAAGCTGTCCCCTGTCATTTAGTTCCTTAGTGACTGTGAGCAAGTTATTTTCTGCCCTTGTCTAATCAGGGCTGCGAAATGGGACTATATTTCTAGCCAAGAAATAATGCGGCACTATATAATAGAAATTTCAATCCCAAATAAAATATTTTCAAAAAGAATAGCAAAATAGCTAAATGATGCACCAGTGAGGGAAATACCAACAAAATTTTGTGGATCTCTATAGATTAAAGCAAAAAACAAAACAAAACCCCAAAACCAGGATAGCATAAGCTTCTATGGATTGCAGTCTATTTCGGCACTTATGCAAGAATAACCTTAGCATGAAACAATTAGTCATTCTAATTTTACATTTCTATATCATACTTATATCATCAATAACATTGATAACTTGGCTTGTTAATTGGCAGGAATTATTTGGAAATTGGATGAAAAATGGCTTGTTTGTGCTTGCCGTTAAACTGTATTGTAACTCATTCGTCCACTTCTTAAAGAGAGAATTTTAGAGTGCTATAAGAGAGATGCTTATTAAAGCTGGGGTTATTTTGTTACATATAAATCAACTTCCCACAACACATATCCAGTTTACACAAGTTTATAAATGCATCTTTGTAGGTATTTGTGTTGCGTTTTAGCAAATATGAAACATCTGATGAAGAGATACCATTCATACAGCCTTGTAACTTGGTAGCTTCCTTAATCAGAGTTCCCCAACCTTTCCAGCTTTGTGGAAAGGAGGGGAAGAGAGGATGGTTCCTCATGAGTAGTGGGCAAGCACCCATGCACACGCAGCTGCCTTTGTGTGAGCGACAGGCACACGTGCACCCCTCTCACACAAATTGAGCATGCACACACCTGTTTGCCCACTGCTCGTGCAAGTAACAATGTGCATGTGAATGAATGTGCTTGCCTGCCATTTCTGCAGACTTGTTCCCAACAGCTGAAGGCTTTGTAGTGGTTTGTAACCCAGGGACCCCTGCCTTTAACAATGTCTTTCCTTAAAACTGATATTTTCAACCTGCCAATCTTCTGGATGACTTTTAAGATTGATTGTTTTGCTGGAAACCTTGGACATGTGTCAAAAAAGGAAAAAGGATTGGCACTATTCTTGGAGTGTTCATTTTAAAAAAAAACACCTCACCTTACATTGATTCTGATGAAAACTACCCTGTGGCTGTTATAGGTTTTGAGAAAAGAGCTGTAGTTGGGAAAATAGTGATACATAACAAAATTTCTGAAGAAACCAAAATTCTCCAGAACAGAACACAGTCTGAAAAGAAAACTGTAACAGGAGAGAATAATAAGACTGGTATATGTTATTATTTTAAATGTAGCATTGTAGTTCTTTCGCCTTCTAATACCAGTTCTTGCTTATTTCCATAGGTGGATCCAGAGAAATGTCGCTATGCTGTGGGTAGTGTCCTGAGTGAAGGAGACGACAAGCCATCTGAGAAAGTGATCAACATGTTTCTGAAGTATGGCTTCAAGATTATCAACTTCCCAGCTCCTAGTCATGTAGTCACGGCAACCTTCCCTTATACGACTCCACTATCCATCCATCTGGCAGTGAACCGTGTCCATACAAGTCTTGATGTATACATCAAGGTGAGTGAAACAGATCTTTCATTTTGAGCCTGGGAGTTAAAATTCCATTTAAAAAAATTCTGCAGAGGATATATATTGTATGATGTATTTCTAGCTGATCACATAAATTCAGATCGTCTGCTATTCAATAAATGGCAAGCCATTAGTTGTGTTTCTGCTGTTGTGGACAACTAAATAAATATTCAGAAAATGTGAGAACTGTCCAATTGAACAAGTACTTGATTGAATGTTTTTATATACATTCTATGCTACAATAAGAATCAGCTGGATGTTCTTCAGTGGAACTATCTGAACACAAAGGGCTTGGGACAGGTAGATCTCTGGCAAAGGTAAATTCCCCTTTTTAGATACTCATCATTGTATTTCCTATTTGCATTTCTCTTTTCAGGTTATTTGGACAAGGTCCCAGCTTTACTTAGCGGAGCATATGTGAATTCATAATTGTTAAATTGTCTTTCCAGTAGGGCACTTCAGAGTAATATTTAACTCGTGGCTCTAACCAAGATGGTGAATAATATTAAATAGTAGTGATGATTTTGTGTAGAGTTCTGTAGTAGTCTGGGCATGTTTGCTATGCTCCTAACATTTTTGCTTTTATTTTTCTATGTAATCCCAAGGTGAAAGATATTTTGTTATAACTTTTCTAGCTATTTGAGAAAGGTTAGGGTTGAAATCTTGCTAAAGCTGTTTGAAAGTGAACATGTCTAGGACTCATAACATCTCTTTTCTAGAGATTTTCCTGTATATCTGCCGATAGGTTTTAATAAGGGAGAGAATAATGACGCTTTGTGATTGAGGAGAAGTTCAGTGGGAACCAGCCCTGTTCTATTTGAAGGGAATATCTCTCTTTTATCTCTTAGACATGAGGAACATTTCCATTCATATCACCTGTACAGCGTGACTGATTCTTATTTCCTGTCAAACTAATTCTCCACTGAAAATTTTAACTGTGGAAAGCACATCACTAAATCTCAACTCTTACTGAAATGTTTGCCATTTTTTTAAAAAAAAGTACTGTGTGAGAACGCTGTGTTTCACCACACCTGAGATTTTAGATCTCTAAACAATAGGGTTGCTTTTGGAAAAGGGCCATTCAGTTAGATTGTTTACTATCTGTCTCAGATATGGGCTCATACTTGAATGGCTACATCTTGGAAAAGGGATGATCTGTTTGAAAGCAAAAAATTGTTAAAGGCAAAGGCAACACAATTAAATTAAACTGTTGAATAAGCCTCATCCTCGGGGTTTTCCTCTGCTTTCATCTGCTGCTTGGAATGTAGATCATGAAGAAAAAAACTTGGGAACAACATGGGCAGACCATGAATATAGACATTTTTTTTAACCTAAAGCTATTTTTATTTTATTTTATTATCAAATTTGCATAGCTGCCCATCTCACCAAATACGACTGTGGGCAGTGTACAATAATTAAATAACAAAACATACAAAACCAGGAAATATGAAACATGTAAAATGAAGATTAAAAGATAAAAAATTATAAAAACAAATATATCAGCCTTAAGCAAAGGGAGGATAAGAATGAGCACCTAGCCACAGAACCATTGGAGCATATCTCTGGTTCCCTGAGAGCACCAAACCTAATTAGATAACCAGGTTTTGAGGGACTTCTGGAATATCAGAAGGAATGGATCTAATCCAGAGATGTCAAACTGGTGGCCCACAGACCGGATGAGTCACATGCAGGCCATACACATCCCAGCTCTGCAAAGGGGAAAAACGTGGCAAAATGTCACATGACACTGATAATTTGACATCCGTCATCTAATCTAAGTGGAAGAATATTCCATAAGGCAAGCCGAATGGCAGAGAAGGCTTGCGGTCTGAGACCCAGCAGATGTAAGACTGTAGCTGATTATATCTGCACATGCTCTGCCAGATCTAGTCAGGCAGGCTGATGTAATTGGGGAAAGGCAGTCCCATGTGATAAAAGGCTTTAAAGCTTAAATTTAGGACCCGTGCTCAGAAGCAAGCTGGTAAACAGTGCACCTTATGGATCAGAGGTGTAACATTCCCTGTTCTAGAAGCGCACACTGTTGCATTCTTTGCCAGCTGAAGCTTCTGGATACTCTTCAAGGCAGCCCCATATAGAATACATTGCAGTAGTCCAATCTGGAGATGACTAGAGCATGAGTAACAGAAGTGGGTTGCTCCTGGTTCGTCCCAGTTCTGCTGAACCAGTAGTGGAATTCAGGCTTGGGTCGCAGAACCAGCAGCGGTTCCCTCAGCATTGCTGGGGCGCTACCATTTTTGTTTTTAGTGACTGCGCGTGCGCAGTTCACTGTCAATTGTTCTGTGCAATTTACATTGAACAGTGCATGTGCATTGTGCACGGGTTGCGTACCGGTAGTAAAACCGGCAGCAACCCATCCCTGATGAGTAACTGTACTGTTATTAATTATGAACCTTTAAAAAAATATAACTATTTAAAAAGACAAAAACTAACAAAAACTAATATTTAGAATACATAAAGAAAGGAAAGAAGAAAGCAAATATGCAAAAAAAGAAAAAATATATAAAATAGCTTTCAATTTTTTTTACAGAAGCCACAAGTATAAATGTAAACTATGGTTACAGCATGACTTTTATTTTTTCTATTATTATTTTTTAATAATCAAAACCATATATCATATATTTACTTTTTTCTTTGTGATGTAAAAAAATCTATAAAGTGATTCCAGATAACATTAACTGTAGTCATCATATATAAAAACAAAATTCCATATTTTTCCCCAATTGTTTATTGATCAATCTGAATAGAAAAGTCTCTGGTTTCAATTGTATATTAATCTTAAAAAAATATCTGAATTAGTGCATAAAGTTGAGTCCAAAAATTGGCTTTTTTGCACAACTGCTATGCATGGTAAAATATCCCCACTTGGTCGCATTTCCAACATAAATTTACCTTTATACATTCTAGACAATTTTTCTTGTGATATATACCAATGATATATCATTTTATAATGAATTCTCTTTAAGATGAGAATACAATGTCAATTTCGGCCTTTTCAACCACATATTCTTCCATTATTCCATTTTGCATGTTATAATGAAATTTTTTAGCTTATTTATCATTCTTTCATTTGTTCATCTGTTTCAAATTTCAGTAGAAATTTTAGCAATAACATGTTCATAACTTGTATATAATTCTGTTTTAAACTCAGTCTTACAATGCTCAAACCCAAATTATCTTCTTTAAATCTTTCTAATAATTATACATAAGAGAACCATTGACAAGCATATCCTTCTGCCAGCATATCTTCTCTTGATTTTATTTTACATTCCCTGTGGCAAAAATCTAATATGTCCCAGCGTTAGTCATTTGTGTTTACTTATTATTTCTCTTCTATAATAGACTTCTTGAATTGAGAGCCACGAAGGTATTTTCAGGCACAACATGGGTTTATATCTATTCTATATTCTCTATATGGCATGTCTAACAAAATGATTTTTAATATCTAAGTAACCTTAGCTTTATCATACTATAAATATCCGTGTCCCTCAACTCTTGTGTCACAATCCTTCTAGTTCCAAAAGCCTTCTGTTTCTCAGCAATGTCTACTTTTGCATCCAAACCAAACAACAAACTGCAAAATATAATTTCAAATATGGTAAACCCAATCCTCTTTTTTCTTTTATGTCTTACAATATTTTACATTTAACTTTGGTTTCTCCCCTGTCGTTAACTTTCTGCCTTTGTTTAATTAGTACATCAGTTGTCAAAGCAGGTATTTTCTTTCTGGAAAATCTCAGTAGAAATATTGTACCTTCTCCTCAATCTTAAAACCCATCTTGTTTGCCTATTCTGTTTACTCTTGTGTCATCGTATTTTGTTAACATCTTTACTTCTGTTTATTAATCCTGAAACCTGCTAATGCACCAAATTCTTTTAGTTTTCCCATTAATATTTCAATTCCGTTTAAAGAAGCTTCCAAAATCAGCAACTAATCATCTGCAGATCTTAATTTAAATTTTCAGTCTTGCCTCTTCTTAAATCCTCTTATCTTGTGCGTCTCCATTCAAGATTTCCAAAATGAACAGAACAGGAAAGAGCCCTGGCTTGTTCCCTTTTGTATCTCACATAGTTTGACTAGAGCTCCACTAACAATAATTTGTACTTTTTGTGAAGGATACATTGACTATACCCCTTTTATAAAATTCTTTCCAAAAGGCATATCTTCCAAAACTTTAAACAGAAAAGTGCAATTCAAATTGTCAACAGCTTTCTCTGCATTTAAAAAAATTAATTCAGCCTGTTTCCATTATGCTGCTCCAATATTCTAGCTCGGTTCTGATACTATCTTTTAACTGACTTTTATTTAAAAAAAAACACATGGGTCTTCATGAATACATTCTTGCAACATTATTTTTAAACTTTCAGTTAGGATCATTGTGAACAAGTTATAATCATTATTCAATAAATGATATTGAGCTATAATTTCTTATCGAAGTCAAATCTTGTTCTTCTTTTGGTGTTAGTCCTATATTAGCCTCTTTCCAAGTCTGGAATCTTTCCTTTGTGTAAATTAGAATTCATCATATTTTGTAGAGCTTGTGAGAGTTCATCCTCAGATCATTTATAGTAACAAACTGATAACCCCTCTGGTCAAGGTATAGGTAGTCCTCAATTTACAACAGTTTGTTTAGTCAACGTTCAAACTTACAACGGTACTGAAAAATGTGACTGTTTTCCAAAGTTATGACCTTTGCATCCCCGTGACCATGTGATCAAAATTCAGATGCTTGGCAAATGGTTCATATTTATGACCGTTACTTTGTCCCAAGGTCACCTGTTGTGACCTTCTGACAAGCAAAGTCCTTAACAGCTGGTTTACTAACTTATCAATTGCAATGATTCACTTAAAAACTATGGCAAGAAAGGTCGTAAAATGGGGCAAAACTCAATTAACAAATGTCTCACTTAACAGAAATTTTGCCCTCAATTGTGGTTGTAAGTTGAGGACTCCATGTATTTTTCATGAT